CGGTGTTCGATTTCAAGTGCAGCCGTGCAGTTCTATTTCAAGTGCAGCCTTTTCTAGGGTGTTCGATTTCAAGTGCAGCCTGTTCTAGGGTGTTCGATTTCAAGTGCAGCTTGTTCTAGGGTGTTCGATTTCAAGTGCAGCCTGTTCTAGGGTGTTCGATTTCAAGTGCAGCCTGTTCTAGGGTGTTCGATTTCAAGTTCAGCCTGTTCTACGGNGTGTTCGATTTCAAGTTCAGCCTGTTCTACGGTGTTCAATTTCAAGTGCAGCCTGTTCTACGGTGTTCGATTTCAAGTGCAGCCTGTTCTAGGGTTACCATAAATCGAGTCAATTAAACCACAAGTACTTGGCCCAGCTATCGGCCGCGGCAAAAAATAGACTAGAAACGTTTCTAGTCGGATGAATTTGGTCGCTCCTATAGTAGCCCGTACGTTTGCTATAATCGTGGCGCGTTAACGGGCACGACTCTAGGAAGTACTGGTGGTTTAGGGCGTCGCTCACTACTCCTGACATGCACAAAAGACAACTCGTGGCGGCGTATCTTTCCGTGTTCTAGCGGAAGATTCACTCTCGTTTTGCAGATTTCGAAAGTAGTGGAGCGAGGCCCTTGATCACAATTTCTCATTGAGTGTGCGCACCTGGAACTCGAATATCTTCGAGTGGTGTCGATCGAAGCTCTCTTCCTGTTTTTTTTCCCCCATTTAAAGCGAGACCAAACCTTGGCCCTCGGTGACCAACGATGTTATGTTCCGAGTGAGTGGAGACGTCACGACTGTTTGAATTTGTTTCCAACATCGTAGGTTTTTTTTTCCTATATTATTCTCTCAACTTCTGTTTTCGCCTTTCACTACCTACTCCTAAGGCTATCTAGAGGGGGCTGAGCCCACACAGAGATTTTTAATAAAAAATCGGAAAGAGTACCCTGAAAGTCGTGTCCGCGCCGAGCTGTTCGTGGAAACGAATTCGGATCCCATGGACCCGACGGGCAAGGAACTTCGACACGAATGCTAACCAGTTGCACTCGGTGAGAACAGCCAACAACAACAGAAACAAAAAAAAACAATTCTGCACAGCCGCCAGCTTTCAGGGGGAGGGGGTGGAGGTGAGGGTCGGGGTGGAGGTGGGGCTCGGGCGATTTTGGAAATCCATTCACGAAACCTGCCACGACTCTCTCCCGTGCTTCCATGAAGACAAAACACATATATATATATGCACAGCCACCAACTTTCAGGGGGAGGGAAACGAGGTCGTGCGCTTTTGGAAACTCGTTCACGAAACCTGCCACGACCCTCTCCCGTGCTGACACATAAGAGTCCCCGATAGAAAACATCCAAATTATTTGACATCCTCGACTTATTTAACGTCCGAATTATTTAACATTTGAATTATTTAACATTTTAACATTTAAATTATTTAACATTTTAACATTTGAATTATTTAAAAGCCAAATTATTTTGAAGGCCCTCCCACCGCGAAAACGTGTGGGATTCTTTTTCATTTCGTGAAAGTACCTTTACTAACGATTGAGGGATCAGTAGCTTGCTCACATGCGCCGTACAGAAGAACAAATCGGCGAACTTTGTTCGTGCCACTATTCGATTCTGACATCAAGCATTGCGCGACGCGTAAGTGATGCACTATTGCTACCCTCGGCAGTCGTCCTCGTACACGCGAAATTTCATCTAATCAGTCAATCAAAAATTGATCGGTTACCGACCGGTCGTCCGCTTCGTTGGCCTAGATGAAAGTCCGAGTGTGTACACGTACGACTGCCAAGGTTGGTCTGGTTACCGACCGGTCGTCCGCAGCACTTACGTATCACAAAAGTTCGGTGTTACAATCGATTCGTCAGACGCAGACAAAATTCGCCGATGCGTTCCTCTGTACATGGCATCTGAGTACAACTACGATGTTGGAAGCAAAGTCAAATCCTCATGACATCTACACTCGGAACATGGCATCGTCGGTCACTGCAGACCAAGGGTTTTGTTCTGGCTTTAAATGGGGAAAAAACCTTGTTGAAACGAAAGGAAGTTTCTACCAATACAAATCTAAATCTCGTTAAAAAAAAACGACACTTCACATCATTCACTGCGGCCAAACTACGATGTTAAGCAAAAAACTAAACTAAAGAACTTCCAACACCATTTTCATTTTCGTTTCCCCTTAAAATATAACCCTCGTATTCATATAGCTGGGAAACGGGCCCGGTGTCATTCACTGCGGCCAAACAGATTAAGCAAGAGACTCCCGGCCAAACCCATCCCTACCGCAGCCCAACACAAAATTACAACTGAAGAATTTTGCCTCAGGGTCACATTCAGAATACCTTACAAAATTTGAAATATACAAAAAAACGAATTTCTCTACTTTCTATTAAAAGACACACTTCACATTATTGGTCCCACGTTCACAATGTCGTTAAACGACCTCACCGAATTTGAGGTATCCTCTTGGCACGGTAGCTTTTAGTCAGTAGGGGGAGAACTAGAGAGGACACGTCTTATGAGCGCTATGCCGTGCTCGATTGGAAGGCCCGCCCGCTTTTTGCAAGGGATAACGGGCCTTCACCAACTAATGTATAAATAAAAAGTCGTTCAAAAAAAAAAAAAAACAGACGTAATAACTCTACTCTTCTTACAGAAAACAGTTCACAAGTGTGCCTCAGGTTCATTAGCCAAAGGCCGAGAAATCAAACCAACTATTACACTTGCTACCGCGTATGAATAAATAGTCGTTCAAAAAAAAAAAAAAAAAAAAAAAAAACAGAATAGATATGAAATTCGCCTCTTACAAAAAACAGTTCAAGTTCTGCCTCAGGTTCATTAGCCAAAGGCCGAGAAAATCAAACCAACTACTAAGCCTACTCTCCGCGTATGAATAAATAGTCGTTCAAAAAACATCAAAAAAAATAAAAAAAACAGAATAGATATGTTATTCATTCTTACAAAAAACAGTTCAAGTTCTGCCTCAGGTTCATTAGCCAAAGGGTCGAGAAAATCAAACCAACTACTACACTTCCTTTCCCGTTTTGTTTTCTCTTCTTTCTTCTTCCGAGTTCCATTTTCCCCTTTCTTGTCTTCTGTTTTATCAAACTTTCAGAAAAATTCGATTAGAATTCTTCCGAGTTCCATTTTCCCCTTTTTTTCTTGTCTTCTATTTCTTGTCTTCTGTTTTATCAAACTTGAAAAAATTCAATTAGAATTCTTCCGAGTTCCGTTTTCCCCTTTTTTCTTGTCTTCTGTTTTATCAAACCTACAAAATTCAATTCGAAGAAAATAGAAACCAAACTACATTTATCAAGAGTTCTATTTACGTATAGAATCTAGTTATTTTTTATGTATGATTCTTCAATGTAATCATCAGAGAGATCTCGTTTCCAAAAAGACCGCACCCATGCAATAGAAAAAAAAAAAAAAAAAAAAGCGCAACAGAGAGATCTTACACATTGCCACTCTCCCGAGATTTCTGGAAAGGAGAAGGAATAAACACAGAAAAGGTCGGCTAGGTTATGGTGGCTGCTAGTCGTATCCTGAGCTTTGTCAAGAATCAGACAAAACAATCACCGTCACGCCACATGCGAAGCCGCCTTCGGGTATGTCGACCTTGATAAAGAACGAAACAAAAGAACAAATTGGGAAACAAAAACAGAAGGCAACCATCAATGCACGGGAGAAAAAGCTGGGAGAGAGAGAATCCGATCCGTTGCACGATTAAAAGTCTGCCTCAGCGATTACAAACACCGCACTGAACTAACACAGTACGACCTAAAGACAACCCTAATCATCCGCGGTTTCTCACTCCTTCCTGCCACTGTGCACCGAATAACGCGAATAATCGAGAGACCAAAAAATAAACGACCTCTGACAGAGAACTCAGTCGACGAGTAACAACACAGCTCACTACACCTAACAAACTACTACTCGATCGAATAACACTCGCTCCCACGATCATTAACCCGACAGATCAGACACAGAACACTTGACATAATTGGTACTCAATCTGCAACTCTTCCCTCCTTCCCCGCACCATACTAGTCAAACGCGAATTAGGGAAAAACGCAAGACATGACAAGCAGAACCAAAACGATGGTGACCTGACTGTTCATGATGCGCACAACCAATAATCACGGCCGAATATGACAACGAATGCCCTCAACCTACTGATCCCACGCACGCTCACCTAATCACGAAGGAACGAAGCCACGAAGAGAAAGGGATGGCCTCGTAAGCTTCTACCGACCTACACACACACACACACACATGATCTAAGCATTGGAGATATGCTCAATCAACTCCACCACACGGTTGGAGTAACCCCACTCGTTGTCGTACCAGGACACCAGCTTCACGAAGTTCCCGCTCAGGGCAATCCCCGCCTTGGCGTCGAAGATGCTCGACCGAGCATCGCCGATGAAATCCGACGACACCACGTCGTCCTCCGTGTACCCCAAGATGCCCTTCAGATCGGTCTCGGAGGCCTTCTTGATCACAGCCTTGATTTCGTCGTAGCTGGCGCTCTTCTCCAGCCTCACCGTCAGATCCACCACAGACACATCGGCCGTCGGGATACGGAAGGCCATKCCCGTCAGCTTGCCGTTRAGCACAGGAAGGACTTTGCCCACAGCTTTGGCGGCGCCCGTTCCGCTGGGAATGATGTTGAATCCAGCCCCACGCCCGCCCCTCCAATCCTTGCCAGACGGCCCGTCCACGGTCTTCTGCGTGGCCGTCACGGCGTGCACGGTGGTCATCAGTCCCTCCACGATGCCGAAGTTGTCGTTGATGACCTTGGCAAGAGGCGCCAAGCAGTTGGTCGTGCAGCTCGCGTTCGAGATCACGTCCAGATCCGGCGTGTACTTCTCCTCGTTCACGCCCATCACGAACATCGGCGCGTTGCCAGAGGGAGCAGAAATGACAACCTTCTTCGCGCCGCCTTTCAGATGAGCAGCTGCCTTGTCCTTGTCCGTAAACACACCGGTGGACTCGACCACGTAATCCGCACCTGCCTCTCCCCACGGAATCGCGGAAGGATCTCTCAAAGCGAAAATGGCGATCTCCTTGCCATCCACGACCAGCTTCTTGTCGGCGGACAGACCGACCTCGCCCTTGTACTTGCCGTGCACGGTGTCGTATTTGAAAAGGTAGACGATGTACTCTGGATCAAGGAAAGGGTCGTTCACAGCCACCACCTGCACCTTAGGGTGGTTGAGGGAAGCCCTCAGGACCAACCTTCCAATGCGACCGAACCCATTGATGCCGATCTTGACCGCCATCTTCGCTTCGCTCTGCTTGCTTGCTTGGTTGCTTCCGAAAACGCACAGAGCTCTGATTCCGCAAAACGCACAGAGCTCGACTGTCCGCGGCCGTCAGCGGGGAAATGCTTCGTTGGGAAATCGGGCGGGCGAGGGAATCTTTATTCGTTTTCCGGGCACGCCCTCCGCGCAGGCCGAGCCGGGACAACTCGCCTGGAAGAAGACTCTACAGTGTCGTTTTCCGCCTTCGTTTTCTCAAAAGGCGGCCAGCTCCTAGCATTATTGCGTCCTAACACGATTTGGCGTCTCGCTCCACTGCACTAGACTCACGGAAAGATTCGTCAGTGCTTCTAGAGCTGTCAGAGGTCTAGAACTCAAAAGGAAGCATAGCTCCACTCAGGGCATTAGTCGCACTGCGACCTATAATCCCAAATCCCCACAAAAAAAAAGGGTCGCGGGCCGATCACACAGTTTTGCCGAAGTACGAAATGTACTATTGGGGCACGGTTCCACTACCACACGAGCATGGCCTATTTGGAAGGAGGCACTGTACTATTGGGGTACTATTGCGGCACTGTAAGAAAAGGAAAAAAGAAAATAAATAAATAAATAATAATAATAATAAAATAAAAATGGCGACGTTACATTTCCCAAGATGGGAAGGAGGCCTACTTTTGAAAGTGTTGGCGTCCCACTAACCCTCCCGTCCCACGTAGCCAATGCCTAATCAGGACAGAGTGGTACGTGATAGTTGCAGTCTCGCGTACCACTGCAAGGGAGTCCCTTCGTGTGCCTGATGGGACTCCCTTCTCTGACGGTTGCCATGCTGAAGCGTGCATTTCGTATATTTTGAGAGAAAATCGAGGTACTGGATTGACCGGAAAAAAGAAGGGGGTCAAAAACATGCTCTTCCAGTACTTGATTTTTTTCATCTTTTGAAGAGCTGCCAATCAAAATGAGTCTTTCTATTTTCTTTTCCCGCCTGCCATTCTTGGGAATGGAAAGAGAAAGCACAAAAAAAAAAAAAAAAACACCACTTCAGAATATAAATCCCTCGCAGATTCTCTGCCATCTGATTCTCCTGCATCAGTGGTTGGACGATGTCCCGCAGATGTCCCAAAGGTGTTTGTGGGACACAGTTTACCTTACTCCTTGCTAGTGGAACCGTGCTCTTGGTGTGCCCATTTATCAGCGGCCTGGGAAGCCGCGGGGCAAGGGATTGCCCTTTTTTTTTTTTTGCATTTTCTTCTAAAATTGGCGAAAATTATTTCACAAGAGTTCTTGCACAATTTGTAGATGGCGCCGTGGGACCAGCCGAGTACCAAATCCCCATTTCCCTAGACGGCCGCGACCTTGTCCCATCTGAAAAGGTACAGCAGTGTGACGTGAACCCTGCTGAAAACCTAAAATCGGCCCTTCCCAAGGATTTGGGGTCGCAGTGTGAGTATGGGTCTTGCTCCACTACTCTAGAGTCTCGAACTTTAGAGAGTAACGCCTCGCTCCACTTAGGGCATACTCGCCCAAATCCGCAACATATATGTGGATTTGGGAAGCGCCGATTTGAGGTTTTGGGCATGATTCACGTCACACTGACATACCTTTTTAGATGGGACAAGGTCGCGGCCGTCTTGATAAATGGGGATTTAGTACTTGGCTGGTCACAGGGCGCCATCCACAAATTGCGCAAGAACTTTTGTGAATGAATTTTTGCCATTTTTTGAAGAAAATACGAAAAATGAAATAGCGCATTTGCGGTCACCTCAAGAGGTGACCGCAAAATCCCTTGCCCTGCGGCTTCCCAGGCCGCTGACAAATGGGCACAGGAATAGTACATTTGCAAATTTGGTAGATCCGCGTGACCGGCCTTTTCCCCTTTTTTTTGGGATTTTGGGATTGTAGGTCTATGTGAGTATGCCCTTACTCTAGACTCGAACTCATGACAACACCCTTCGAGAGCTGTCAGAAAACGCTCTCTAAGGGCATTCTCGATTTGTATAGAGTTCACAGCCTTTGACGCTCACGATTCTAACGTCCTCCCTCCTACCCCCGCTCCGACCTCTTTTTTCCTGAGTGTGCCTCCTGCTGCGACCGTCAGAACGAGTTGGCGATGTCGTGTAGCGTTGTACAAGCGCTCACGAAAATTGTAAGTACTCACTCCCAGCTTGGGACCCGCTTCTGAGTGGAACAGCGGATCAAACAGACTTGCGGGAGCACCGTTCGGACGAGGGGCGCCCACAAGATGACAACTTGAAAGCCGCTCACCGGAAGGTATCCACCGCTAGAACGTGACTTTATGCAGTCCCTGATTTTTTTCTTTTTTTAACCGCTTTCGAAGCGCTCTTCCTCCTCCCGAAGCCTGTTTCCTTCAACTTGTATTGTGGGCAATCGGGACCCTTGGAGATCCGTCATCCCACGACTCTAAAATTCAAGGTTGGCAGAGCTGCACCCTGTGAAAGATGCCATTTCGAAAGTGGAACCCGCTGGGGAGGTTCGGTACTCTTGCAGTCCAGTTTCGAGAGTAACCGCCCTTGCTCCACTTACTCTAGAAACGGTATCTGAATTTTGTGAGTGCTTCTGGAGTATTTCGGTCACTCCCGAATTTTTTCGTGAGTCACGAATAGTGGAGCGAGGCCCTTTGCCCTTACTCCAGACTCAAGAACAATAAAAGCACTAGCAAATTTCTCAGCACTACATGACAGCCCTTCTACACCGCTAAATGAGCGCCAACTAGTTCTGATGGTCAGGGCATAAGGCACACTCGGAAAAAAGGAGCCCGGAGCGGAGGTAGAAAAGAGGACGCTCGAAAACCTGAGCGTTGCAGGTTGTGAACTCTAAACAAATGGAGAGTGTCCTTCAAGAGCGATTTCCGACAGCTCTCAAAGGGTGTTGTCATGGGTTTCAGTCTAGAACAAGTGGAGCAAGGCGATACTCTTGAAACTTTGGGAGTCTAAAGTAGTGGAGCGAAGCCCTTGAGCACATGTTCTGTTTATGAACAGTTCCATGCGTCAGTGTGCCTTTCTGCCGCCGGCCACATATCTCTGTCTATTGGAAAACGCATGTTGAACTGGCTACCGTAGTGTCGAAATGAACAAACGAACTGTTGTTAATTATTTTTTTATTTTTTTTTATTTTTTATAAGCTACTATTTATTCTTCATTTGGGAAAAGGAGGTTGCGGGTTCAACCCCAAGGCCACCTTTGGTACACTCGGTGCCAACCAACTCAAAAAGTCCGATAAATTCCTCCCAATCGATATTTGTAAGGTCTTCTGTCAACACGGGCAACACGGGTGTGAATGCACGTGTGCGTGGGTTGCGTGTGGTGTGTGGAAAAGTATTGGTTTTAGACACTATTACTACCCAATAGGGGTGGGGGAAGATGAAAAGGGAGGCACTGTTACTAGCAAATGTTCAGTTCTTGTGTTAGCCCGGCCTCATCGGTGGCCCCAGCTCTGCACCCTAAACCCTAGGGCAAAAGGGCAAACATGTTGTTACCTCCCTCCACCGAGAGAGGTAACATCCCTTCACCGAATAGAGGTAAAAAGTTATGCTTGCAAGGGTCCATTGTCAGAGCAAACACCCTTACAAGGATATTTGCTCATGTTTTTGCAGTCGACGCAAAGTCAACTTCAATTGTCATAACGAAGTCGGTCTGAACTTAAAAGTGTACGAGTTTTTCTGCGACACTTTGAAACGATTTCCTTTACCATTGAGGTTGGGGCGAATCGGTGAGAAAATTTTGTTAAGTGTGCACGCGCATTATTGTGACTTACGCTCTGATGGTTAGAATCGGTACTAAAAAGGTCGAAGGGTCGATTGGATTAGTGTTATGTCAGGAAGACATACAACGCATACTGAGACTTAATCGTCGGTACATTACTCATGATAAATTAATATATGCACCGGTCATACGGCCGGAACGATTATTAGTGTGTGATCATCAGGGTTGGTGTAGTGCCCGGATTACTAGCGCTTGTTTGAGCGGTACCTTTAATAACTTGTATGTCGTGACTGAGGTTGAGGCACTACCTTATCCTCCCGTATATATAAAGGAAGTTGCCTCTTAGGCGGTAACTTCCTAACCACGTGGCCACCCAAACAACCGGTGCCTTTGTCCCTTTGCAGAGGGAGACACCGTTGCAAGCTCTGATATCGTCCGCATGGGGCCTAGATTTGGCTTGCTTGAACTAGTACATGCCTAACTCCCGGTGCTGGACCTATAAAATACCAACTTTTGTCTTCTTCTGTTCGGCCTTGAGTACCCGACACATCTACCTCTACTTGGTGTGGTACCGGCTTACCTGCTACTTGAGTGTTTTTCGCAACTCTTAAGTGTCGCGGACCTCTTTCCTCGCCACTTGAGTGTTTTCCTCGCTGTGACCCTCAATGTCATGGTGATAGGTAAGTGAAGGTTCTTCGGGTCTTCTTGTACACCAAGTGCCCTTGCAGGTCACACACACGCTCAAGCCGACAAGCACTCGGACAGGCATACAGCCCGGCAAGCGTGCGCACACACAGACTTAGAAACGGGCTAAGGCCTCTAGGTGGGTTAAGCCCCGAGACTCTTCTTATACCTGAGCGACTTTTATCTTAACTAGAGTAGGAACTAGCCCTGTAGGTTTAAGGTGCAACTTTCAAGCGAAGGGTGTAAGGAACGAATCCACTCGACCCCGAAGCTAACTCCTTTTGTGAAGAACATAGGATTCGTGAACCCCCCCCAAAAAAAAAATCAAGTTTGAATGAAATTTATTTAGGATTCTGAGAATACAATTTTTAGCTAGGTTACCAGTCGTCCGATGGCCAGACGTCTCGGCCGGACGTCTCCCCCAACTGTCCGGTAGGGGGGTTGTCTGGGATCCC